CAAGCATCATGCCTCATCTGCCTTGCTGAAGAAATTCCACTGAGAAGACAGGCCTTTACAACTACAGTTTTACAGATTTGGGAACCACTGGTCTTTTCATATTAGCTTCATATTAACTTCTGCATATGAATATTTATTTATTTGTTGAGCTTACAGGTCTCCCATAAAATCCTATTATACACTAACTATTATTTTATATATCGAGGGAAATCTCTTTCTAAATCAATTACGCATATTCTAAGTTTGTATATCATTCTTCACACTTTGCTAAATTATAATACAATGGGTTGGTGGCAGCAGTCCTATATTATGAAATTAAAAGTACCACAAAGGGCTATAAGAAAAGAAACATACATGTTGCCAAATAATGTGTCATTCTAACAGACCAGGAAATACATAAATTCTCATGGTCTGGACTCTGGACCATCCAGATTTTTTTTTCCCAGGGAAATCTGGAGAGAGATAAATCAAGTCCACTGTTAATCAGGCTTTGAAAGCTGGTTCATTTGGCGAAATCAATATGCAAAGGGATCTTTAGCACCTCTGAGAAGAAGTTGATAGGCTTGATAATAATAATAATAATAATAATTTTTATTTGTATCCCGCCCCTCTGCTAGGCAATCAGGGCGGCGAACAGCATTACAAGTTATAAACAACAAATCAGCAAAATCAATAACAATAATCAAACCAATAACAATAGTAAAATCAAATCAATAACAATGATAAAAATATACAATTATAAAATGCAAAATTATATATCATTATGATATTCCAAGGACTGCAGATAGCAAAGCAGTCCTCCGTGGCCATAGACCACCGCCGCCCGCTGCTTGGTGCCGGTGGAAGATGGTAAATGGCGGGTTTCTCGGATGCATGGAGTGAAATGATCTACTTTCTCGGATGCATGGAGTGAAATGATACCCAGGAAAGGCTATTATAATTAGACTTTATGAATATCTATGGAAATCCAAAACATATGGTAGTTATCATTAGACTATGAATACCTATGAGCCAATGTGGCACAGTGGTTCGAGTTTTGGACTATGACTCTGGATACCAGGGGTTGACTTCCTGCTCAGCCATAAAACTCACTGGGTGACCTTGGGCAAGTCACACTCTCTCAGCCTCAAAGGAAGGCAATGGCAAAATCTCCTCTGAACAAACTTGCCAAGAAAAGCCTATGATAGGTTTGCCTTAGGATCTCCATGAGTCCAAAACAACTTCAAGGTACACAACAACAACCTGAATACCTATGGAAATGCAAAACACTTGAAAGATGGTGGGATGGTGATGAGATGACAAGTTCAGTTTTAAGGATGGTGGTTCAGAGACAAAGGCAGGAGGGAAGGTGTATTTGGGGAAAAGAGATGCTTGGGAAAATGAACCAGATCAGTGAACCAGAGAGCAACATAAACATGTTCCTCATTAACTTTGTTCCAGTTAAAACTTGAAGAAACTCTCCTGGGAACGATCACCCAGCCACGAACCCAACCAGCTCAGCCCCAGAAACTTTTATCTCCCTGGAAGTTGCCCATGAAGTCGGGAAGAAAAATCTCTCCTGCAACTGACAGGGAGCCTTTCCCCAGAAAGTGCAAGGAGTGCTCCACCTTTCTTCCTTTCTTTCCTCGTGCACCACCTTAACCGATCCCCGCTTTATGGACTTCCTGTTACACCTGAGGCACCCCCTGGCAAGGGCACTTCTATGCCAACTTGAGAAGAAACTCTTTTTTAAAAAAAAAAAAAAAATACTGTATATCCTCATGTACAAATCTGCAAATTTTAGTAAAACAAATGTACCCAAAAAGCCTGAGTCGACTTATCCACGGGTCAATAATGTAAGCACTGTATTTTAACTCTTTTTTAAAAAAAAGTAAATGGTGAAAGGCAACAAAATAATCAATCTTGGAAGCACTGACCGTCCTCTACTCTCCCATCCATTCAGCTTTTTTTTTTTTTTTAGTATGACTACAGCCTTTGGGGATTTGGCAAGTTCTTTGTCATTGTTTTCCTTGGCTTCACCTTTTAAATCCTTTATCCCATGTCCCTACGTTTTCACCCTCTAAAAACAGTAGTTCCCAAATGCTGATCCTCCAGATGTTTTGGACTTCAGCTCCCAGGACTCCTGACTGTTGGCCAAAGTGGCTGGGGCTTCTGGGAACTGAAGTCCAAAAACACCTGGAAAAAGGGAGGGGAAAGAGAGAGAGAGAGAGAGAGAGAGCAATGTTTGGGGACCACTGCTGGAAAAGATGAAGCAAAGGAAAACAGTGCCAAAAAAGAGGCTTGCAAAATTCCAGTATAATAAAATTCCAGCAGGCATAACTGGGCTCACAGAGGACTTATCCACAGGTGATATCCAAATATATATTTGTGGATATATATATATATATTTGGATATATATCCATATATACACACACACACACCTCGTTTTGGCCCCAACTTGTCCATGAGGTGGGCTTCTAGCTGAGTATATCGGGGTCCTAAAAGCAGCTTGCAAAACTCCTGCAAAACACCAAACTCCAAGAAGGTGGAAAGAGATTTCCCCCCCCCAAAAAAAAACAAAAACAAAAAATACCTGTGGACATCGCTTGGCCGGCTCTCCTGCTTGGCTCTCCTCTCTTCCTGGCCCTCCATGGGAAGGAAGGGAGTAGTAATAGTAGTAGTAGTAGTAGTAGTTGGGGTCCCTCCAGCACAAAATGACCGACTCTTCCTCTTCCTCTTCCTCTTCCCTCCTTCTGTGGAAGGTGAGTCAAAGTCCTAGCGCTGTGATGATGGAGAAGGAGGCGAGGCTTTGTCCTTTCGGCCCCTTCCTCCTCCTGGGGTCCTCCTGGGGTCCTCCAGAGTTGGTGCAAGCCCCCCCCC